TCCTCCCGTCGGGCTGCCTAATCGAATTGCCTCTCCTTTGTCACAGGCAGATGTCACGTTTACATCTGTGCCCCGTCCCCGCCGCCCAGCACATGTTACCGCTGGTAACGGAACGCCAGCAAAAAGTGAGGCGCAGATCCCTCTGCTGGAGGGAGCCCGCAGTGGGCCCGAGGCCCGCGCTTCCCCGCTTCTTCCCTCCGGCCCAGGCCCCCTGTAGAGTCCAGCCCCACCGGCACCTGCTCCCATCGCTCGCACAACATACCTGAGCGCGCCCTCCCGCAAGCTCCTGCAGCACCGCGCTGATGCGCCGCAGAATAAGAACGTTCCGAAACTCGGCACACAACGTGAAAACAGAGCCCCACAATTACACCCAGAGCAAGTGTCCAGCCGGCCCCAACGCACACAAATGCACCCGGCGCCCGCCTTTCCTCGCACACGGCCTGCAGCAGCAACATCGTACCCGCACAGAGCACACACACACACTCATTCTCTCGTGGGCGCACATAACTCAACGTTCGCTCCCCTGCCTGCAGACAACGTTCTGAGAAGCTGAAAACAATCAGCGTCGGCCCCTTTTGTCATTTCTAACTTGGTCAAGGACTTAACCTCTCCTTGCATCGACTTAGGACTTCTTACACCGGTGACTTTGGCATGGATCTGACTGTGCCACTGCAGCTGTATTGGGGGTGTAAACACACCCTCAGCCGATTCATTAGTTTTCCCTCCACACTTTCTTCACACTCATCCATTCCTTCTAGCCCACATAAAAATAAACACATAGTCAAAACACCTTCATACTAATCAAGCTATTTTCTTAAAGGATGAGAAATAAAGAAAGAGTTTGTCTTCTATTTCAGAAGTGCTCCATATTTCGGGGATTAGATAGATAGATCTCAATGTAGGGTATACCAAAAAATAATCTGAGAATAGTTAAATGTAAATTAAACGTCACCACATAATGAGGCGGCCGGAAGAAAACCAATGTAAAATTCGCTTGTGTTGAGAAAAAAATTATTGCCCACTATTTTTTCTTGCTGTTTCTTGCTTTATATTCGGGGAGCTAGCCTGAAAACTAACAAATTCATCTGATGCGGTCTCAGAATACAGGTCAGAGGATAGTGACCCGCCGTAATTATCCTACTGGATAAAATAAGAGCCCTATTTTCCTCTTTTAACCAAATCGACGACCGCATGGTGAAAAATCGACTCTGACGTGACATGCACCGCGGGATAATTTGAAGGCCTCCTTCCAAATAAAGCAATCAAAAGAAATTCTCGCTGGTATTAATATTTTATTCATTCCCGTGTTATTGTGTTTTGCCTGCGGTAAAACAGATTCATAGAAGTGAGACATTATGGGCCTGACAAGCGTTTTCCCATGAATTGCTACTTCAGTACAATGGCATTTTGTTTGCTGTTTTGTTTCGCTGTCCTCTAACATTCTTTCTGACTTTCAGGGTGGAGGAAAAGATTCTCCTCTGTGAATAGCGAAGAATAGGAAAGAAAAGTTTCTTTTAAAACTTTCAGCCTTGTTTCATTCTGGTACTTGATAGCATGTAAACATCCCTCCCACCCCCACCTTGGTACTATTCCTGGCTTTCCTTTGTTTTGAGCTGGTGTTGCTTCTAGCATTACTTCTGTCCGTACAGAGTCAGCTATCTGGAGAGAAAGCTTCACACAGCTGTTTCTCGAGACTGTATCAGTAAACAGCCAGGCAGGGAACTGTCCCCATCTCTGGTTGGCTAGATTTGAATTTGTGATCTAGACAAAAGGTCTCTTTTGGAGGAAAAAAAGGCTACTGGGGGCTCTAATTCTATTTGTGCCGCTTGGAAATCAGAAGGGGTTTTTCCACACTTCATTTTGATTCGATTATTTCTTATAGATGGCTTCGCTCTCCCCCCACCAGACGCGTGGGGGAAGGCTGCTGAAGCAGTTGGCCTATAGTTGCAATAATCAAATTAACCATTTGCTACAACTTTTAGGGAGAGCAGCTCGCGTGTAGAAAGAACAACTCGAAACAAAACCCAGGGGCCGGAGGCCTGAGCGCCTCGGAGAAGCCCGGCGTGACTTTCATCTGCAGAGGCGAATCAAAACATCCACAAAAGATTTTGCACTGGGGGGGAAACAACCCCACCCCTCTGCAATAAAGCCACAGAAAGGAGATAATTGAGTCAAGTGCATTTGCTCAGCGGAGCGTAGATCGGCTGGAAGATCCTCCCCTGTAATGACTGGGCCCAAGGACACCCCCTCCCCTGCCCCCAGGCAGCGCCGCCTGGCTTTACAGGGCACAAGGGCTGGCTGGGAGACCTGGGACTGAAGGGGGGAGGGACAAGCCGCTGCCGGCCCGATCAGGGACGAGGTGGGAATGGGAGGACCGGGCACAGGGCATGTGGCGCGAGCTGGGCAGAGCTGACAAGCCCGGGCTGGCAGACCCGGGCGCAGAGCTGGCCAGCGCATGGCGGAAGCGGGAGGGGACCGGTCCTTAGAGCCCGGAGCGGCCG